TAATTGCAGTTAATATTCAATTATCGGCATAATTGTTCTATCAATATATAGTAGGTACACATGCAGGTATAGGTGTATACAAAGGACCTACCAACCCACGCTTCCTGCATCTACACCGTTTCCATGCTTGAGTTTCGTCTTAAAGAATATGCAAATGATAATCTTACTGGTATGAAACTTGATAGTAGGGAGTTGCGGATGCACTTTTTTCTGCAGACCTGAGAAGAGCTAAACTTCTGGATCTGGATTCGAATCTGAAACGATCCGCAGATCCCTACTTGATAGCAAGTATGAATTCAATAAAGTAAATGTCAGATGATCATTCAATTAATAGAATTTCTTATTAATATTTCTTCACAAATTAATTAAGGACAAAAGTGAGGTTACGAATTTGGAAAGTTTTTCATGTGAGGAATTTTTTTCCAATTAAGAATAATTCCAATCAGAGATAAATCCTATAATCTGTAGTGATGATAAATTTAAAAAAAATTTATTGAAGAGACAATGACAAAATTCAATTTATAAGAATCTGATGATAAGAATGCTTTCATTACAGTTGATTGATTTTTAAAGCAGTAGGTGCTGTGTCTTTGTGGTGACAATAGATTTTAAAAACTCGTTTAACACTATTCATTTTTCAGGAATACTTATATTTTTTTGTTTAAAGTTGTCGATTAATTAAAAAAAAATCATTTAAGGTAATTGGCACGCATTAAAACATGATTATTTTCGTTTAAAGAAAAAAACAATAAAAAATGCTGCTAGAACAACATTTGAAATTATCGTTGCACATAGAAATATAATTGGTCATTGTATTGAATTACTTACAATGATTCAACCTGATAAATCAATTGCATTTAATGCTTCTATTACAGTTAAATATTTTCAATAAAATATAATTATCTTTTATTATTTGTCTCTTTTGTTTTTTCTTTCAGCATATTATTGTCAATCAAAGAGATGTAATTGTTGATTATGCATATAAACATGATTTTATTCCATTAGATCTTTTAACAATGTGGGAAATATATCTTCCTCTAGGTGAAAGTCGTATTGATGAACGTAAATATATTCATTTTGATGTTAATGGTGTAAAAGGTACACAAAGAAAAGGTTGTTGTATTCGTCTTTTAATTTCATGTTTTCGTTAATAAATTTTATTTCAATTATAAATAATATAATTGATTAATATTATCAAAAACATGTTTTATAGAATCTTTATAATACATAAAAAATCCTTGTAATTGTGCTGCACTTAATTCTTTTGAATAATTATCTGTTAAACGTTCGATTTCATTTAGAAATTGATTAATTTCATTACGAGTTGATTGAGGAAAGAAACGAATTAGCATACGTTCAACTTGATATGGTGTTAAATGACCTATATATTGTTTATAATCAACTCGACCAGGACGAATCAATGCTGGATCAAGACTAAAAAGGAAATAACAATTGATTATTTATTGAGACCTCTCACCTCCCACCTACAAAATCAATTTTCGATATAGTGTATGAAACTTTCAAGTTCGACTAATGGAAGTATACTATTAAAAACCTTTCTTTGACTTACTGTTCAGAAGCCATAATGCAATATGGGCTTTCATACGTACACTAATGTTTTTTTTTCAATACACTTCAAGCTACAGCATCCGGACTACTCTCATATCAAAGAGAAATTCTTAGCGCTTCGGATGAAGCTCTCAAAATCTTAAGAATTGCTTTGATATATGAAATTCTTTTCCTTCATCCAAAAGTGAATGTATCTATCTATCGAATAAAATGAAATCACTGTTCAATAGAACGCACACTTTCGAAAAAAAACGTGCGAATATTTTGTTTTATATATTTATCTGAAGAAGTTTTTGACATAAGCATCAAATATGGTTATACTATGCACCAATACGAAAAATCATTTGGAGTCTTATCGAATGGCCTTCTAGTTACACGTAGGGGAGCGTAACAGCTAATAATTTTCCTATGGATATAGTATAGACCTTTTCACTGAAAAGCCCTAGAAATTCATCATGATTTCTGAAGAAATCTTAAAGTTGTTCGTATGAATTTTCAAATTCAATCTTTCAGGAATCATGGCTATACGTTGATCTCAAAAAGTGTCTTTCTTGGAAAAATCAATTTTTTGGAGGCGGAGGCCTTAAATACAAAGAAAATAAATCATACCGTTCAATAAAATTAGTTGTCATAAAAATAATTCTACCTTCAGTTGAAATAACTCCATCAAGTGCATTTAATAAACCACTCAATGTTAGTGGTTTCATGCCTTGATATCGTATAGCATCTATTAGAACAAGAAAAGTAAATTTTCGATTATTTAATTTGAAAAATCAATTAAATTATTAACCATCTTTTTCATAATGTCTACCAACTGTTGCTGCATCAATATCTTCTAATAAAATAATACTTTCTTCAGGTACATTACTTAATAATTGTTGAAGACGATCATCAGTCATTGTACCTTGACTTAAATTAAGTGTACTAATACTTAAATCAAAATGTCCTAGAATTAATAATTTCATAATCAAATCAAATATAATAAATGATCGAAAACTTTCTAGACAAAAATGTTTGTTCACTTTTGTCTTACAAAAAAAAGTATTTGCGATGAGTCAAAAGTGAATAAATTAGTTCGAAAAAGGGCTTTTAAGATAAACAAAAAAAAATCTGTTGGCTCGCTCTTTTCAGATAGTTCAAAGAGTGTTGAACGACAGTACATAAAATTCTGGTCCTAATAATCATATCTTATGACTTGTTGAAAATATTTTCTTGTAAACAAACATTTTTTGTCTAAAAACTTTCCGATCATTCGTTATTTAAATGAAAACCTGCAAGAGCCGTAATAGCTGATGTTTTTCCAGAACCAGGTGGACCAAATAAAAGATAACCACGTCGATAAGGTATACCACGATCAATATACCATAATGGATTTGAAAGGAAATGTTCAACATCATTTATTAAATTTTCACGAATTCCTTTATCGAGTATAACTGAATTCAATGGTCTTTTTCGTCTTGGATGACCAAACAGACGCCATTCATTAACTAAATTAACTTTCTTATTGATATTAAATTTGTCTTTAACTCACTTGTTGGAACATAAACAAGTGTTTTCCCTTCATTAGCTAATAATGCAGCATCACGTGCTTTTTCCAACATATCAATATAAAATTGTCGATTTTGTCCAAATGCAGTTAATTGAACAGATTCAAATGGTACACCAGAATTAATCATTTGTTCACGTGTACGTTCAACTTTAATAAATTTTCCTTTATAATGAAAATAATGTGTACCAACTGATGGAACAAATGTATATGATGCTTGAATACGTGATGATGGTTCATCACTTTTTATTAATGTTGTACGAGCACTTAAATGACGACTTGAATCACGTAATTGATGTGATATCCATTGCAATAACCATGTATAACTTATATCATTATTAGGAACTTCAAGTGTTATCATAAATTGACGACGAAAAAATATTAAACCATATTGAGATGAACGACGAAGTATAGCTAATGCTGTACCTATACCAATTAGACCAGCACCAGCACCAAAATATGGATTTGATGAAAGAGATGTTATTAAATCTGACAACATTTTATGTATGTCAGGTTACAAAAAGAAAAAATAATGAAAAACATGTTTCATCATACTACTATTACGATTACGTTGATATTCGATTGAAGGATGCATATGCCAATAGAATTATGTAAAACGAAAGAAGAAGTGTCTGTAGAGGACATTCACCGAACTGAGAATATGGCTGTCCTAGTAACAATTACAAAGATTACTATCCATGTAATAACTATCACCAGTATACCGGACCCCACACAGTGCACTATACTGTCGGTTGCTTTTTTTTGAAAATGTTGTACGATGATGTATTATATCAAAATGAGTGAATATTTTTTTAAAGTCTGTTAAAACTGATAGAACCGAGTCGATTTCGATACACGTCAATTATATTGATACGTCTGAGCTGTCTGCACTACTCACAAAATCGTTGCCAGTTATGAGCTAAATATTTTATCATTTTTTAAAAATTTTTTGTTATTACAAAATATTCTATCTTCTCAGTTAATTTGAATTCTTTCTACTAAATTATTCGACTTGAGGAAGAAAACATTCTTTACAACCATTATTAGCACAATCGCCGGTTGTTATGAGTATCGCAGTATATCGGTCGTAGTGCAAACAAACGTGTGACATGAAAAATATTTACTCGTTTCCATACAATACTTTCAAAAAAAATACAGCCGATATAGCGCATATTGCACCGATCGGTATACCAACAGTAGTTATCGCATGGAATATCAAATTGAGAGCAATGTACAGTTTCAAATAGTGCAATGTAGATAAATTTTCTGAGTCATGTCAATTTTTTGTAAATGCACAGTTATTATAAGACTTTTTTTCATACTTGTTTAAAGAATATAATAAATATATTTTAACCTCTACATGCTCATTAGTGGAACATGAAAATATGATCATTTTATGTAATGGTTGCGTGTAGACAACAATATGATTTCAATACTTCGTTCTATATTATGCTGAATGATAATAGTTTATAGCAGCATAATATCCCAGGTCAATGATTCCAGTGACCGAATTTATGGATTTTCGATCGGAATCCGCAGAAAAAAATGCCGTTTCCGGCAGGAACTGAATAAATCCGGTCACCGAATTCTCGCTTTCAAGTTCCTATCATTTTTCGTCTGTATTTGATCTTACTCAAAGTTGGATGAATATCTGATCACATCTTTATTTTAATGAATGTCTACCGATCCCAAGAGTTTTTATTAGATTTATCAATTATTATATCATAATAAAAAAAATTTTAACAATATTTTATAATCAAGAAAGAAAATTGTTTTGCTTATGACTTTCTAGTAAATGATAATAGACGTGACAGAAATTTTTGAAAGCATGATCTATAATAATATAACAATCAAAATAATTTTTAATAAATGAAATTATTCTCTCTTACAATTGTTTGTTCTTATTTGCAGTTGTTGATGTTGTTGTCTTATTATCAACCTTTGATATTAAAAAAAAATCAATTTATTAAAGTTTAGAATTTTAAATAAATATTTTTCACTTACCGGTTTCGGTTGTGTCGTATTAGTTGTGTTTTCTGAATGAAAATCAGTGTCTATAAAAAAAAGAAGAAGAAAACTGACTTTGATCTGATATTCTAAAATATATGAATGAATCACGATATGAAGATGTATTCAGAAAATCTATTACACAAAAGAAAATGTTTAGAAAGTAAATAAATTCCTGTATTAGAAAATACTTGGAATTGAAGTCGATTCCTCTCTTGATTGAATGGACAATGTATCAGAAACATTCATTAGATTTAAACGACAATTGCTCTGTAAAAAAAAAGGGACGAATAAAAAACTATAATTGTTTTGAAAGCATACTTGATGATTATCTAATTCCTCTGTTGAATACTTTTGATTACAAAATGTACATTCAACTTCTATAGTTGATTTTGATTGTTCGATTTTTCTATAGATTCAATAAAAAAAAATCGAATAATTTAAAATCAGAAAAAAAGAAACCTTCTTTTATCTTCAATGCGACGTCTATCATTTTCCATACATTGTTTCTAAAATTAGATTAATAATAAACTCAAAGATAAGATTTTCGAACGATTCTCCTGAACCGTAAATGTTGTATAATTACTTGATGTGTTTTAAATTCTGATTCATCAATCGGTCGGTTGCATATTTCACAGGGTAATCGAGTTGTAGTCGGTTTTCTTAAAAAATATTTAGAATATATTAAATATAGTAAGATGAAATATTGTTAGAGATTTTATACGGTATATTGTTTCGAACACTTAATCTTCTTGCATTTGTGGATGATATGTTATCATCTGATGACACGACATGTATATCTAACGGTTTTTCTTTAAAGAGAAATATTTGTCTTTATTTTATAGTTGAAGAGAAAAAAGAATGTGATTACTGTTCTGATTGATATTTTGATGGGATGATGATTGACTACTGATTTCAAATGGAATTGAATGACGAGTATTTTCAATCTCATATCGATTTTTACCTAGAATGAAGATCGACAATAATCCAATAACATTAATCTTAATAAAAAGTTCAATATTTCGAAATTCAAAACTGTTTATATAATCACATGATGATGTCGATATTTTAGATCATGGAGAAATTACTTACGATTTTGTTGTTTGTCACGAAAACAATTCTGAAAATTAATCGATATAAATAATGTTATTCAATTAAAATAATAAATACTTCATGATTATTGATCTCATCAATACTGTATTGCACAAGGCAATACTCACAAAACAATAGATTTTCTTCATTCATTCTACAAAAGCAAATAATTCAATACATTTAGATAAGATTTTTACATAAAAAAGAAATAACTAACGATATATAAGAATTATTATGTAATGTTGGTTTTCTACTAATTATAGATTTAGATAGTCGAGCACAAGTTTTCATATGATCATCATAAATTGCACGTTGATATTGTTGATCACATTGAAAACATGTTAATTTTTGTGTATTGCATTTATTTAAATGAGAATCATAATCTGTATATCGTAAACCACAATCATTACATGTTTCATATTCGATTTCAAATAAACATGGATTCTTTTCATTCATTCGAGATGAAGATAAAATTGAATTTCTTAACAAAAAAGAAAAAATAATAGAAGAAATTATTATCTTTTATTTTCGATCTTACGTAAGTGATGATGTTGATGATGATTGTATATTTTTAATATTCATAAGTTGTGTATGAATTATGTCAAAATTAGGTCTATCATATGGTTTATCATTCCAACATATATTCATAAGTTTCCAAATATTTGAATCACATTTATTCGGTCGTGTTAATTTTTTATCTTGAAGTTTTCTTTGAGAAACTTCTTGATCATCATTAATATCAACATAAGGTATTGCTCCGAATGAACAAGCTTCCCACATAAGAACACCAAATGAATAAACGTCAGATTTTTGTGAATAATTTGATCGACCTTGACTAAGTAAAATTTCCTTAGCAACATAGCGTATTGGAATATGAATTTTAACATCTTTTGGTATTGAATCATCTCGTGTTAAACCAAAATCAATTAATTTAACTAGATTTTGTTTTAGTTCATATGGATGTGATTGAAAAACTAATGCATTTCTGCATGCTAAATCACCATGTATAATACCATTTTCAGAAAGATAAATCATTGCACTTGATATTTGAATAAAGATTTCGAGAAGAACATATTGTGATGGAATAAAATATCGTTCACTCAATAATATACCTAGATCACCATCTTCAGCATATTCTTGTAGAAGTAATATTGAATCTGAACCTATTATATGACCATTTGGTTCCACAAGACCATAAGTTTTTATAATATGTGGATGATGAAGTGATATATAAAGTAAAGCTTCGTCGGTTGTTTTATTTACTTTCATTTCAAGTAAAACAATTGGAGAATCTTCTTGATTTATCCAATTTGCTCTATAAAATGTTTTACCAAATGCACCAGTGATTTTTTCTCCTTTTCGAATGTCAACATCTAGTGTATAAGCAGTTTGTCGTTTTAATGTTGCTAATGATGTTCTATTATTCATTTTGGAATTATTCTAGTATTTTTTTGTCAATATTCGTTGAAATATAATGTTATTATATTTAACTCATTTTGTTTAATCTAAAATTTTATATTGAGAAATTAGTTTGATTAATTTAAAAACAGATTTTGAAATAATTTATACGTTTTTCTAAAACAACATAATTTACAAAAGTAACTTTTCTGCAATTGTGACAATATCAATGCTATTGTTGCCAACATGAGTCAAAAGAGTTTTAGATGGTTGTTTTTCATGCACACATGCGTCTTATTCCAACTTACAACTTTTTTTTAATGGCATGAGAACAAAAATAAGAGTTAAGTCAATATTAGTTTTTTCTTTTTCCTTTTGCTACTCTTTTCTTTTCAAAATTCGTATCGAATTTTTTTTGACTAAGAGTTGCTTACGGCCATACCACGTTGAATACACCAGTTCTCGTCCGATCACTGAAGTTAAGCAACGTCGGGCTCGGTTAGTACTTGGATGGGTGACCGCCTGGGAATACCGAGTGTCGTAAGCTTTTTTTATTATAATAATCCTTAAAGACTTCTATTTTCGTTGAGGTTTCTTTAAAGAATTCAGTTTCTTATGTTTTATTTCTTGTTTTCTATCATAAGTATTATAATTTTTATTTTTCGCAACTCAAAAAGAAGACTAGACTACCATTCGAGCTTTGGTCGAGTAGAGAACACTACTGAGTGTACAAGTTCGAGGGTGAAACAGCAGAGCTCAAAACTTCAATGAACTTCACTTGGCTTCAAAAGATTTCAAACACTTCACGAGACTGCAGGGCTGAAGCCTCTGCTATTTCCTTGTCACACAAGCCACAAATACGTTAGTTGAGGAGAAAACAGTAGAGACTTTGGTCTTGAAGTCTTTAAGCTATAGCTTTTGTGAGATATGATCCAAAAGGAATGTTGAAGTATAAATTACACGTTGACACAGTCTCCCACCCACAGATGTAACAGACGTCCTTAGCAATGCTACCTTTCTTCCGTTCCCTCATATCACAGATCGTATATCAATAATGTCTCGTTATAATATATGACCTACTTCCTTATTGCATTTGTGGGGACTAAGTAAAGAGGTAGTGAAGAAATATGTCCTAAAATTGATAGGATAAAACAATATTCATGTTATTAGAAACAACAGCTACATCGTGTTTCACATTTTAATCTCGCAGAAATTGTACTAACAGCTTTTAATTTATATTAAAGTCTCTTGAAGTCTTTTAAAGCCTGCTGTTTTTCTCATCAATGCTAGTATTTTTCTTTTTGTTAAAACATATTCTAATAATAATTCGTTTTTAGTATGCTCTTAGGACGATACTAATGTTAAATATCAATGAAAAATTATTTTTCATATTCTATTTTTTTTCTATCAATTGATTATTATCGTCTTTGTGATTTGGTCGGCTTAAGCTATGCAAAACGTTTTTCGAGGTGTTTCAGACTTCGCCGTAGATAAATTTCAGTCATACAAGACAATGATTCAAGTAGATATATAGCATGTCGTATAAGTCCATGCGGAAAGTTTACATGAATAGTGTTTAAGCTATTCAGCCGATTTATAAATTTTTTTATAACATCATAATATAGGTTTTTTAAGCTTTGTTCTGTATATATTCAGATAAATGTTTATGCTCATAAACATTAGAATAAAAATAGTTTTGTTAAAGGCCAAATTTAAATCACCTATTGTTGTGAAAGGAAAATGCAAGTCGAATTTGGTCTGCAAAAGCCAGGCATAGACTGCACTAGGAATACCTTTCAACTAGGGAACAGCGGAGTCGTGTTTTTCGATTCCGTTTCCGACTCCGACTTCGAGAAGAAATTTTTTCGAATTTTGATTCCGACTCCGAAAAATTCCGAAATGTTTTTGTAGTCTAGTGACATCGGATTTATATCAATTCCTGATATCTTGAAGGGATAAGAAAGTAAGCGAATTAGTAAGAAATGAACAGCTTATCAGTATATTGAAACAACAAACAACATTATGAGTAAAAAGATTTTAGCAAAAAAGAACTTGAAAAATTAATAAGAGATGGTGATCCACCAATAAAGTTCATTGAGAGGAGAAAAACATTAAACTCAAGCGAATTGTGGAATTTTTTTTCATTATATTTTTGTAAATAATGATCGGCAACAATTTGTGTGCTGCAATGCATACAAAGGACTATTGCTACATTCATCGTTAAATAGCACTAATAATTTACATACACATGTTAAATCGTATCCAAAGAAAGAGAAATCAAGTTTTGCTTATCAAAAAACTGTTCACGACTTTTATTCCTCTTTAAAATCATCACCAATTCCAAGAAAAATAAAATCTTCTGTTACAGAAGCTCGTACAAAGTTTCTCGCTCTTGATGCATGTGCATTTGATGTTATAAGAGATGATGGATTTAAAAAGTTAGCAAAAACTTTGTTTGATGCTGGTCGAGCCACCAGTACGTCATCAACTGAAATAATAGATCTTTTCCCACATTCGACATATTTCATGAATAAAGTTATTTCTAAATAAGAGTCCAACTATTTGACTATTGCACTCATATAACTCAGATATTAATTCAAAAAAAAACCTTTTCAATAATTCCTACTCCGACCTCACCCAAGTCCAATAAAACGGCGTCGTAAATGGTCTGAAATGGCTATAAAACGGCGATTAACAATGTAAATCGTCGATAAACGCCGCCGTAATCCGTCATACCAGATTACGGAAGCAAAACCGGGAAAAAACGACGGCCGTTTTCTAGCGATAGAAACGGCTCGTAATACGGTATGACGGATTACAGCGAAATATGGCCAAAATTACTGCAGTAATTCGCTGTTTTATAGCCGTTTCAGGCCGGATAAGACGCCGTTTTCGACAGCCGGAATGATCCATCTGGGCATTGGAGTCATGATCGGATTTCGGCGTCGGAATCAGGTTTTGGAGTCCCATGCAGTTCGCTACTTTCAACGCTTTTCCGAAATTAGTATAACATGCGATGCAAAAGTCTTTACACAAATGTCGAGCTTTACAGTTCACTATTTTACAAGCTACAGAGCTACAACTTTTTTTATTAAAAATACCGCAAAAAACACTACAAAAAAGTGTATTTATAAAACTGAATATAGGCCCTCTCACCACGTACCCTGAAGCCTTTTTCGAACACTCTTCTTCATGACTTGCAACATTTTTTTTGATCAAGTTCTTTTGCTTTCTGTTGGATTCTTCGAGTTAATACATCCAAGTTTTGTGCTTCGCAATTATTTTCATATACTTTTCGTTCAAGTAGAGTTCAAATAGTTTCACTTCGAAGAGCTTGAAGCACATTCGAAGGGTTATCTTGACGACGAACGAATGATACATTCTTCTCGTTCAACCGTTCCTGAATATCATTTGAACAATGAGTCCTTATCAAATCGGGCTAGAAGAGATAATTTCCATTCTGATGATACTTTTCGATAAAAGGAAGAAGACTTTTGTTGATACATTTATCGAGTATGTAACTTGACGAACAGTTTGCTTGCTCCTGTGAACGTACATTTCAGAAACACCTTTAAAGGATAAAACCATCCAAATCATCACTTTCGGTTCGAATTTTTCCCTCTTTTGAAATTTAATGTCTGGAGGAGTTGTAGCTGAATCAATAGAATAAAAAAAACCTGACTGCCGCTTACGTTATCTCCATTAAATTTGAAGTATTTTTCATCATCTAAAATCAGATCACAGCCATTCAACAATTTGCGATACAATTTTTCTTCGAAGGTTACGTGAAATGGTTGACTGGTGTACTCAAAAACGTCGTTCTATTCTATGTTGACTAAGACCACATCGATTATTTATAGATTTAACAATGCTTTTCAGAATTTTGTTGGATAGTTTCACCGAATGGCCACTTCAAAGCTGATCTTTCATGATTTCATATTTTAAATACTTGTTTAGTATATAATATATGACTCTTCATAGAATGTTTTGTTTTTTAAAATAATTTACTGTACAGAATTATGAGAAGAATCATGATAGAAGTTGCAAGTGTGCTGTGCAAATACTTCTCTTTCGTCACGTATCATTTTTGTTGTGAACAAGTAGTAACAATTAATTGTATATCGTTTGAAAAAGGAAAGAACAAGCTATCAGTTGATCACAAAATATTCAGCCAAACATGTGTTCGTCTGTCGAAAAAAGAACTTGACATTTGTGCAAAGACTTTTGTATCACATGTTAGTAAGTAAATGAACAATAATATGAAAGACCTTGAAAAATTACAGGAGAGAAAATGGAAGAAGTTGATGATACTCATGAAAATATGTCACTGTCGATTGTTGGGAATCTTCTAATGAAGCCATACCAAATACACAATTTGTCTAGCAACTTCCTAGAGAAGATTCACAAGATTAAGTTGAAGTTCTCAAATTTTGATAACAATGTTAGAAAGTATGAAGAATCAGAAGGATTCGTTCTTTTTTCCAATGAATTCTATTTTCATTTAAATGGTTTATCGGTAAAATATAAAATAAAAATCTATATGTATAAGATATATCTGAACATTTGTTTGAATTGAAAATAAGTGCCGATAACAGTAATAAATTAATATGAAAATAAACTTTCTATAATATTTCTTTTAAAGATTTTAAAAAAGATAGATTTATATCTTTCAGTTCATGATAATCATTTGGAACATTGGTTAATTATCGTGTTCTGTATATTTATATCTCTCAAAATGACGTCAAATATTGAAAAATAGTTTTTCGATTTGCACTTGTCATATTTTGATGATTTCATCAAAATTTTTTCTAGTGCGAAACACTACTCAGAGGCTGAGAATGAGTGACTGATGTGTCGAGTGGAAGAAGAAGAAAAGAACGAATTTGTCATACAAACTAAGTAACGAGTCGGCTGTTGCCACCTTAACGATGCTCTACTTTTTAAAAAACATCAGAAGAAACCTTAGAGGTCGACATCTTTCTTTAGCAATAAAATCTTTAATATTTTGAAATAATATATTATTGTTTCAT